ATATATATATATGTATATATACATACATACATACATACATACAAGGTGAATCTTAATTGTTATACCAACATTTTATCATTGGAGATGAATATTTTATTTTCTCTTTCCAATTACAGTTAGCAATTTATCTCCCCTGGTAAAACGTTCGTACAGTTATTATTCATTATATATTATTATGGCTGGTATTCATACTCCATTTATCACAAGACCATCCTAAGTAATGTCTTAAGACACTAATATGGCCCTCTAATTGGTGACATCTAGAGACTGTACTTAAACAGTCTTCAATATAAGAATCAATTATAAATACTAGCTTATGTATAATATATAGATACATAGATGTATACATAGATTAGATTGTTTCACATTTTATTCTGATTTTGTACAGAGTGATAGGAAGAGTTCCAAGAGTGTTTATTTTAAATAATGTCGTAAGGGAGTTATTTTCTAATATTAAAATCGATTAATTTTAATATAGAACCGTTATTAGAAATTCGTGTACATTTAATTTTGTTTTATTCTTTTGTTGCACACGTCTTCCACTCCTCCTTTGCAGATTGTGCCAATTGATAGGCTGGTGAAAGGCAGGTTCCAAGACAACTTTGAGTTTTTACAATGGTTCAAGAAATTCTTTGATGCAAACTACTCGGGAGCAGAGCCGTATGATGCGCTTGCTATGCGAGGAGGAGAGCCTATGGGTAGTGGCGGAAATAATGCACCTCGTGGTGGTTCTAACGCGAAACGTACTTCTCCACGTGACACAATAAATTCGACTAAACCGGCTCCTCGTACTACTGGTACATCATTTAATAACTTTACTCTTTGATGCAAAAAATTTTGAATTTTAACATCATTAAAAAGAATGGAATAATATGAAAAAAGAATAGGTTTTTTTTTTATAAATACAATTTGAAACTTGTACGTTAATAACATAGATTTTGTACTAATCAATAATTGATATTGACTTGATTGCTTGATTATCCTTTGATACATGAAAATCTGATTGATCTTATATAGAGCAGGCAAGGTAAATATTACAGAATAAATACAAAGTCTGTAGGGGAATTAAACGATCTGACAAATCTGTCTTGTAATTTTATAATAAGGAATCCGTGATATCAATTGATGTACTTCTCCTTGTTAAATATTTCAACAGGAGTTTCAATTATGGATTATTACATAATATCCCTCAATAACTTGAAATAAAATTTGCCTTTAGGTGAGGGACATCCATCTACCATGCGTGCAGATACAAACTCTTTAGGTGAAATTTAATATCTCTTTTTGTTTTTACTCTCGTTACTTGTATTTTGCTTCTTTAGCTCCGTACATGTTTTAATACTGAGATATATGAGGAAAGTATAGAGTAAATTATGTGTGTGTAGTTTTTGTGTCATTGATTAAAATATTTGAATGAGTTTTATTAATACTGCAATTTATGAAAAAAATGGTTATTAAGATACAGGAAAATTTGAAAAGTGACACATAACTAAGAATGAGATGTGTAATCATAATATATTGTTCCCTCACTTTGATACAAATACTATAATTTCCACTAATTTATGATAATCGTCTATATTACTCTATAATTGTCACTATCAAAATTTACACTATATTATTATACAAATTAATAAGAGTGGCTCACATTTCACACTTGCCTTGCAATTTTCTTTTATTATAAATAAGATATAAAGATTTTATTTCTATATACGAATATATATATATTTCTGTAAAATTTATTTATTACAATTGTAAAATACACATTGTGCATGATTTTGAACTGTATTTCTGCATGCCTTGTTTTGCTTGCACAAAAAGCATGTATATTTTTATATATTTAAATAGCTTTCTTAATTTTTAAATAAATCACAAAAAAAATATTCTAATTTATGTTACAGAAGTATAAATATTTACTTATGATTTTAAGATATTATTTTAAAGAAATGTATTTTTATTCTTTATCTAGTAAATAAAGTTCAGCAGCCGTACCGTGCGCCTCCCAAAAACACAGTTGGCAACCGTGGCGATAACGGAAAAATTGAAGAACTTAGTGCACAGGTATATTTTTTTCAATAGACTTAAATATTTTTTATGTATCTTTCAAAAATTAATGAAATATTTTACTAGGAATTAAATGCTTATAAATAAAAACGCCTATAAACTAGTCGAAACTGGATTTTTAATGCTTAAAGAATTTAATGTGAATTATATATATATATATATATATATATATACACACACATATATGTATTATATATGTATATGCATATTTATAATCATTCGAATTGCGCGCCAAATTGATTTTCCGTTATAAGCATTTGATTTCTAATATTGTGTTCTCATATATGCGGTTTAAATTAAAGATTCTTAATATTGAAATATAATTTTAGTTGGTTGAACTGAAAATGTCAGTCGAAGGTTTGGAAAAGGAGAGAGATTTCTATTTTGGAAAATTACGTGACATAGAAGTCATGTGTCAAGACTGTGACAACGGCGGCGATCCTCCACCTATTGTACAGAAAATTTTAGAAGTCCTTTATGCAACAGAGGTAATTCACATTTATATAATAATTCTAAGAATTCCTTTGAATAAATGCTTTAATCTATTCGTTTTTTTTTTTTAAGGATGGTTTTGCACCACCTGAGGAATTGGAAGGTGACGGACTTGCGCCTGACGATGAGGAGGAATATTAACCTTTTTTATTTACGGATGTAATCGAAATGAACAACAGCAAATTATCCAAGTGCGTTTCAGTTTACCATGCCTGTGAGCCAGTATCATTATCCCTTGCATAATTATTACATAAGCTATTTTACATGAGCAAATTCAACCGTTTTTGCGCGGATTGTGCATACATTTTATTAATAAAGTTCACTGAAATCATTAAGATTCGCACAACATTAGAATAGATTTAAGTTGAGTAGTGCACTTGAATAACTTGTTCTTTATTGGCCGTTGCTAAAAGAGGGAAAGAAATGGAGAAAATTAGAAGAAAAAAATCAACTAGTAATCTATCACAAATTATTGCAATTCCTTATAGCGTTAAAATGGTAGAGTTCCGAAGATCAATGGCTCTCGAATTGACCCTCAAAAATTTATGTGGATACCGATGCCTATTAATGTTATCTGCATCCGTACTGTTACGTAGCGACTTACGTTAACTACTATTTTTTTAATGCGTGAGTGTTTTGTTTGTAATTGTATTAAGTTTAATCGATAATGAATCACGAAGCCCCCGTCAATAATTTTGCCTTTTGAAATCTATTTATAGTTATCTAAAACATTAAACCTATTGAGGAGTTCAAACAAAAACTGCTCAATTTGTTCCACTCGTTTTCTATGTGCAATATGGCTGATGCATTCAATAGTTTCATGTGAAACACTAGCTTTTCATCGTCAGCAAAATAATTTGGATATACATAATATTAATAATTAAAAATTCAATTCCGCTTTGATATTCTATCTGCGTCTCAACATAGAAACTACTACATAACATATTTGTAAGAACATAAATACCACGCGCATATAGTTCAGATATTTTGATTTCAATAAATTAAATAGTGTGCGCTTCGTGAAGACAGATTGCGAGACAAAATGGTACGCTTATGCGATTACTGACTTACAAAGATATGAAAAACTTAAAGTTAAAGCTGATATTGAAAGATTCATCTATTAATGTTTATCCCGTAAAAATCGATTTTAGAAAAGAACCGATCATGTTTGCATCTCCATGACAGTCTCTCGGGATATAAAAATGGCCTTAAAAGCGGTGAATTTGAGATTCCGGTATAATACTCAGAATCGCACGAATAAACGCGAAATGTTTTTTTTACAATTATATCGTACAGGCACTGTCAATTATGACGCTGCTATATCTCATTTCGTAAAAAAAAAGAGTTTGTAAAATCTATATGTTCCGAGAGCAGAGGAATGAGAGGAACAACGAGCGAAAGAGTTACGACATGTAGACGTTTTGCGAACGCTTACATGTTTTTGACATGTGTGTGTGCTTTCAATATAATATTGGTTTCGACAGTCGAGATCAACATTGATTGTAGATGCGTCATAATCGAATTAATTTAAGCGAGAAGCGTTGATTATCGTGATATAATTGTCTAGAATATAATTTGCGTTACGTGCTACATCTTTATTAAGTTCCAGCAAAGAAGAATACAGTTTAGCTTGCGCTCTAGCTGTTCATCGCTCTGTATGCGCGCATATGTGCTTCAAAATTTAAAATTTTAATGCCGATATAATAAACGTTTAATAAAATCGACTCGATTGTTTTCGAATCCTCGAATGTATTCGAATATTTCGATATATTTGATACGCAGTAAAATATGTAATTATAATTTTTTAATTAAAATTCGCGAGAGGTCATATGAGAAAGAAAGAGAGAAAAGCCTTGAATAATACTAAATTGCAATCGTGTAATTATCTAGTAGAATTAGAACCTTATAAGAAACAAAGCTGTTTATCAGATAAATTATCCGTAAAAAATTAATTTTGATGTAGACACATGATGTAATAAATGAGGCATAATTTTTTTCATGTATTATTGCAAGATGTATATTAGAGATATAAAGTATATATGTTAATAGCGAAACAATGTGATTGTAAATCTCGTAATTAGCCAAGGAAAAAAATTCATGAAGATGTGCTTCAAAGATTCACGAACAATATTTGAAAAATTTTTAAATATTACTAATAATAAGTACGAATATATTTTAACTTAATAATTTTTCCGAATTGATCAGATGAAAAATTTATGATACTCTTCTGTCAATAGATTTAAGATGAAGTCTCATTTTCTTTTTCTAACTGTGGCAGATGCATTTCTTTGTACTGTTTTGCTAGAAATGTGTATTTCGCGATGCATATTTACTAATTAGCTCACGTGCAATCTGTCGAAGAGATGCATCATGTTGCAGGCTTGATTCTCTTCTCTGAAGTCTAAGTTCTAAAAACTATGGGCTCTTAAGGCGCCGCTTATGTGCTCTTAATTGTTGTTACGTTACTGTCCGTGAAACTTCTGCTTTCCCAGTTCGCGCTCAACATTTCGCAGTCCCGTGTCGGCTCGTTCGCGCGTGCTCGAGTATACAGAAGTACAGCTTCCACAACAATCTCACAGAACATCGTTTCTGAGACATTACAGCACGTGATTGTGACAAAGATTACAATTAGCAGTGGTAGCAACAATAGTTTTCTATCCAGTCTTTGTATTTGCAACGGGAGAGGTAATTAGAGTTAAAGTTTATAGACAGATTGCAAAAATCATGCTTTGTATCCCCTTAAAAAACTTATCAATAATTGATGGAAAAGTTCTTTATTCTGTGCTTCAAACAGATTGTTATGCAATGTATTAAGAAAGATTATATGTACCAATTTTTATATAACTGAAAAAATCGATTATTTAATTAAGATTTTTCGATATTTGATAAATAGCATTGAAATCAACTGGAGATTTATGTATTGACTAGTGTATGATGCTATTTCAAAATCTGTCCTTTCTGACCCAAACATTTATAAACATTCGACCGAATTATCTGATAAATTCAACGATATATTAGATTTTAACAAATAAAAACGAAGTCCATCGAGTCAGTCAATTTATCAACAGAGACGAAATAATTTGCACCTATATGATTAATTTTTATTTTTACTGTTTATTTCTCTCGTAATTGTTGCGTTTGCAAGAAAATTCGTCACTGTTATCAATTAATGATCAAATGTAATCTTTAATGCAATAAGAGAATGCCTTAGAAGATGCTTATAATTTATTGTCGAATAATTTTTGCAAATTTTTTTTTTTTTAAATACGCTATTTGTAAGATACACCTCGAAGAATAATAATCGATTTTATACTGTCATACTGTTATACATAATTTATAGCAATCGGGATAGCTTTGTCCAAAGCTCTATTGAAATAGCATATAGCTTCACATTCTCTCCAATTACTCACATGTATATGCGGACACACTCACTTTATTATATACTGAACGGAAGAAAATCACCTTTTTCTGTTACATTATAAGCAATACAAAGTTTGACGGTCAACAAGACTGCTATATAAACTAAACGAAAACATGATAAATGCCGAAAGAGACAAACATTACGATAACGAAATGACTTGTACGAGTCAATGATAAAACGGTAGAATTAGATTTTTACTAGACAGCACACAGACAATTCTTGGTTATCTCTCGACATGTAATGTAAACTTTCTATTGCTTAAGATATTATTCGATCATACTCTTCTGTTTAACTTTAAATTAAGGTACAACCAAAGAAAATTTTATGAACACTGTACAAATATTATATTACTAATGATATGTTTTTAATTTTTAAATTTTGCCCTCTAATCTTTCAACATTAAAAATTAGAACGAATAGCTTCGAAAAACTTTAATTGCGCCTATTAATAATATTGACACTTCGCTAATCTAAAGTATTCTAAAGTTGAAGTTATGTTACATCACATTAATTGATTTAAAAATCTAATTATCAGTCAATCAATTAAATTATTATTATATATCCATTAATAAATCCATTTAATTATTTTATATCCATTAGTCAATCTACACAATAAATTTTATATTATAAAGATTCAATACCAGACTTCAGAACAAATTGAAATTAAATACATCAACATGTTTGTTTTAACACACACATAACTTCCTAAATGCTTTTAACATTTTTCGTGACAAATTATTATATAATATTCTATTAATATCGCGATAAGTCCATTTAACATTTATTTGACATGCGAGAGGAAAACTACATTAAATTATCAATATCTGATACATCACAAAATTTTGTATGCGGGAAAATTTTCTTTGATAAAACTTAGTAATTTTTTATCTATATATCATGTCGTGCACGCAGCACTTTTCTGACGGGATTTTTAAAATTATAGATGTGCTCAATCTCGTAAAAATTGAACTAAATTAAATTCCATCGTGAATACTTAGCAAAGATTATCTTCGTCTATAAGTTTGCAAAAAATGTTATCACATTTCTGTAAACAAATCGATACATGCAGATAAATAAAAATATCTATCTGACTATATTAAGCTGTATCTTAAAGTTGAAATTGACATTGAAGTAATTTAAATTTAAACTTAATTATTTTTAAGTTTATTTTCTTTGCAATATATTTGAAAATAAAAAATTGATTTTGTTATAATTTTCTAACATAATCTTATAACTATATCTTATAATTTCTTGGAAATTATAAGAATTTCTGGATATCTTATACAGTTATGGATATCGATACAACATATATATTTAAGCGAATAATTGCTTTAAATTGCACGCGTAGATCAATGCCGTGTGATAAAATCCGTAAAACTTTTAGATATTTTTCAGTGAGACGCTAAAATTGTTTGTGATTATATACATATATTGTGTTTTACCATGAAAATACATCGTTATTTCTTTCGGCCCACTCTAAGGTCATGCTTTTCCCGATAATAATTTATCATCATCGTTTTCTTCACTGTCTATTTTGCATTTCTGAGTCATTAGAATCATTATTTAACTTAAATCATTAAGATTTAACGAAAGAAATTTTTATTCATGCATTTCTGATCGCGAATTATCATCAACAGATTGTCCCCATATATAAACATTATTCAAGTACGCAAGCATTCACATTTTGTATTCAAATCTTTATTGAATCTATATTCAATATTTGCTTATAGATGATAAAAATAAACGATCTATAATATTAAAAGTTACTACATCAATCTGTGTCATCGACAATCTCTGAATAAATATACTTTTATGTTTTCCGCGTCATAAAAGAAAAATTCATTTATAATAGAAAAAAAATCTTTTCTTGAATAATCGACTTATTTTCACAGGTTATCCTGTTTTTTTTGTTATATGCTCCAACAATTGATATTTTTTTTTTTAAAGAAATCTGACGTTATTGTAATCTTACTCTCGCCTTAATTAAGTGTAATTCCTACAGACGAGTGACTTTGTAGCACCACAATCGAAAGCGCCAATCTTTTCATACGGAGTTAATTACAGAGAAAAGTGTCGCAAATTTCGCTACAAAGGCTGCAGTCAAAATCTCACTACAAATGCTTTAAAGCGTTTAGTTGGCCAATTAGAAAAAAGAATTTTACAAATTGACCAATCAAAAATTGCTGTAAAGCATTTGTAGCATCGCGTTGACTCATAGTCGCTTGTCTGTAAGAGCCCTAAAGTGAACAAACTGTTTGCGTATGCGTATGCGTATGCGATTTCAAATGTCTTTCTAGGCATTGCCGGCTTCGACTGTGCAATTGCATTACACACTTATATGGTATTCGGGGATTATTTTATATTATTCTATCTTAGAAGTTCTATCTTAGTAAAACGAAGATAGAATGACACAAGCGCTAATAGCATCTCCTCAAACGCACCTATATGCCCGTATTCATAGACCTTGTAGTTAAGACTTTCTTAAATTTATCTTTAGATGCTCAGCAGCCAATGAGATAATTCGTAGAATATCTAAAGATAAATTTAAGGAAGCTTTAAATATAAGGTCTGATTATGAATACGAGTAATAGTCGCTTCATCTGAACGTGCGTCCATGCAATGCGGAAGTGTAGTTGCAGGCGCCCAGTGTTTGAAGGGGCGCTTCGTCAAATCGCCATTTCTATTTTGATTGCATCATCCTGATCATCCTTTTGTTACATCTGTTCGGTTCGAGGTTCGAGGTGGTCGATGCATTGCATTCCGAGATTTTACGATTTCGAAAATCATTCAGTGACCCAGTACTAACCAGTCAGATTGCAGAGCCAATAATAAGAAGGAAAAAAGAAGTCTTTCTAGGCATTGATTTACTTCCGATACGGCAAGTTCATCAAACAAAGTAAGCATATCAAAATTATATTTGTTAAGAAATATATCTAAATAAACGTCCGATCGATCGAGTAAATTATTATTAATATTCGCTCGTATCGTTTATGGAACAGTCAACGAGACAGCCGCAAGAAAATTGTACTTGGTAGAATTGAGATTATTGCAATCATGTTACAAAGCAAATTACGTCAGACAATACTGAAATATACGGATTATTTTCTATCGCTCGTAGAGAAGTGTATGGAATGGAGTCTGCCTGAACAGAATATCGAAGGTGCGATTTACGAATCATTTTTTCATTAAGTATATTTTTTCATCATTTTAACGATAAACGATGAAAAATGTGTACTTTTTTCGACGACTGAATTGGATCTATATTTCAGATGAAAAAGAATTGGGAAAAACGGAACTTGTGAGACCATTGCCATGGCTCTTATTCTTGCCGTGCTTAATGATGTTACGTTTAATCAGAGTGATAGTTAATATAGGTGCTTTCATATTCAATTATCCTAAAATCACATCAAGTGAAATGGTATGCCATCTTCACAGTTTTAATATTAATATTGCTTAACTCTTACAATACAAAGTAAAATTTAATGCTTCATTCATCCAAACATGGATCACTAAAATTCTTCCGTTTCAAAACGGTTCAAAAAATTCTCTAAATTTACCATACTTTCAACTTTCTAAAATAAATATTGAAACTTCATTTTTAAAAAATAAAATGTAGTATAATTTATAATTATCGGAAAACTCAAAGAACTTACACGAACAAGAATCATTCGATCGTCACTAGGTCATCGACCTTGTTCAGTAAGGATTAATAAAAACTATTAATTTCAAAAGGAAATAATCAACAAAAACACTAAAAATGCAGTATTTAAAATGTTTACGGTTTAAAACATCTTTGCAAAGCAAACGTTTAATAATAAAAGATATTTCAATTTTAAACGTTTAAAATGTTTTAAATCCAAATACATTTTGTTTATTAAAAAAATTAATAACTCAAACATCGTTTAAGTGTTAAAAAAATTAAGACAAGAGTAAAATATTTTAATACTGTAAAATTAAACACTTATAAGTCCAAATTTTACAACACATTAATTTTTCCATTATAAGATGAATGTTTTCGTAAAAAAGTTACTTAATATCGTTTGTTTTATTTCATTCGCGTTCAATTATTTTTTTCTTTATTATTTAACTTATTATTTATTAAACTTTTTCGACAGATAAAATTCGTGCAAAAACATCGTAAGTATTTGCATAATGCAATGAAGAAAGACAAGAAGGAGAGGTATAAGCTCAAGGTAAGATGTACATTTTTTGCAGTGAAACGTAGTGAATGCAAAGATAATAAAATTAATACGATAATCTTGGTGGTAGAACAAGAGATCGTGAATAAGGTTTGATGAAGAAGGCCTTGATCAGGTTCATCAGGTCTGATTTTCGAGTTTATCCTACCTGAATACATCCAAATCCTCTCCGTCATCACTGCCTAAAATTTATATTAGTAACAACCTCGATTCCGATCCAGTAAATAAAATAGTATCTTATCCTGTGCAAGCGTAAATCACATGTATCCAATTGTACAATTACTTGAAGATACTATGACCCATCTTTTCTCCGAGTATTTCATTCAAGTGTTTTGTTTTACGGACATATCTTTTATAAATGTTTCTCTGAATTTCTTGGAGTGAAATTATCTCATTCCAAGAGTTAAAATACTGTCACTCTTTTTTTTTTTAATGAGATTTCATATTTTGGATGAGATTCACTCCAAAAAAGAAGTGAAGAAATTCTTTGGAGTAAATCTCATTCCAAAAGAGTAAAAATTTGCCATTCCTATTCAAGAGTGCAAATATTTTCATTCTTTTTCAATAATGACAATATTTTCACTCTTTTGGAATGAGATTTCTCTCCAAGAAATTTAGAATTTCTAACTATTTATTCTAAAAATTGATATCTTTTGACGGATTCTGAGATTAGTTGCTTTCCATTACATAATTCTCACTTATGATGTCATAAACTCAGTTGAATGAGCATTCTTTTTGCACTCTGACAAATGAGATACAACTGAGTTTTTACCTATAATCTGCACAAGATCGAGACCATGTGCTTTAAGTGAGTCTCGTAATTCACCTTAAAAGTAAAATTGAACTCGTCATGCGATAACTTTTTACCAAAGTAAGTAATGACGTCATTAATCTGAGTATGAAATACTCACTTTAGACTCAGTTTCACTTGTGTGTAAATGGAAAACAGCTATTATCGTAAATATAAAATCAAATGTATTCGTGATTACTTTATTGTTTTAAGAATTATTCTTGTTATATTAAAATACACAATAAAATATTCAATAAAACAACAAAAAATTCTTTTAAGGTAACGACATCCAAAGAAAAATCGGAAGAAAAGTCAGAAGAAAAACCGGAAGAAAAGTCAGTAGCAGAATCAATCGATTCTACGACTGCATCAAAACATTCAATGTGCAAATCGGAAGAAAAGAAGCAGGAGGAAGAGGAAAAAGAAGAGAGGGAGGAAACTCTGATTGAAAAGATTAATCGACTCGCTTTGGAAAATAGTGAGGACGATGAAGATTTTGAGGCAAGTTCTATATTTTTGTTTAATATTCATTTTATCATTCTGGATTATATCGATATTGTCAAATTCATAATCCAAACAGTTTCACGTTCACAGTCAATTTACGGATTCGAAAAAAGCTCGATGACTTGACTCTTCTTCAATAGATAGCCCGCAACTTCGACGATATACGCTGCTTGTTTTATTTATATATTTAATGTTGCACATATATGTGCTTTTACTACACAATAGGAAAGATTTATCTGGCTACGTTTTTGCTATCGTCTTTTTAGCCAGACGAATATTCGTCGAGCTATACGGACAGTATCGGTGGTGACAGTGAGAACAGCAACGATGACGTGTCCCCGAATGAGATTCGCGACATCATTAAAGACTCAAAAGCGTTCAATGAAAAGACGATCATCGAGCAGTTTTTGAATGCCGAGCAAACTTTCACATTGGCTTCTAACCAGAAACTCGTCGAACCGGCTTGCGAAAAGGTAAACATCTTTGAATAATGCTCTTGTTTTTATGATCGAATTGTTTTTATGATCGAAGAATGAGGAATAAAACAAGTATTCCTCGATACATGGCTGCCTTGTGTTTACTCAGGATTACATTCTAAACGAGAGAGCGCATACACAAGCGAAGTAAACGCGCAATATTTTTGCATTTAATAAATTCTGCCGTACTATATTTTTTAGCTATTCCATCAAACAGAACGAAATGCAAACAGCAATTTATAATATTTTATATCCGTGTGTATGAAATTCGCTCTACACAATTTTTCGCGCGGTATGAACGAAACGGAATCGAAAAAACGTTGATGACACTTTAGAAATGAAATTCTTCATAATGTGTAAATGTTCAACGAGCTTGTTCAATTTAGAGATCGTCGGCCAAGGAGAGCTGCGATAAGGTAGAAGAGCGCTTCGCGACTTTGCAGCGTATCGATTCGTTAGAGTGTTGTACGTCCGACAGATCCAGTCAAGAAGGCAATCCGACCTTCTATTCGCCAGTCAGCTCTGATTCGGATAGTGACATACCGAAGGACCTATCGGTATCGATCGCCAAATGTAAGTGATTCTCCACGCGTCTGCATCTTTTGTGGCTACGATCTCTCGACTAGAGCTGGCTTTTCGCTATCTTATGTTACTCTTACATGCACATGTGAATTCGCTTTCAAGTAACACTTAATGAGCTTCCTTCATTTAAGTACATATAATGAGTATATGCGTTAAATTGTTGCATTGATGGATGGTTACTTAATAATTAATATATGTGGGTGATTATTGACGATTAAATTGTAAAATATGGAAACCTCTACAATCGAAGAGGCTGCTTGTTTTACATGTATTATTAGGGTACGTCCAGATTATCGAGCTGCAACTCGAGCCGAAACTCAAGCCGCAAGCATTTCGATAAACATTATTGTTACGCGACTTGGCAAAAGGACAATCGAGGATCGAGTTTCGGCTCGATAGTCACAGATAACCACTCTTATATTTATGATACATGTGTTTTGTACATATTATACGCGATAAATAATTCTATTTTATATTTAATGTGTGATTATATGTGATATTAATTTTCGACATAAGAGTTTTAAAAAATGGTGTGATTATTTATTATTATTATTATTATTTTATTCGTTTCCTCAACAGTAACGATCATAAAGTACAACAAAGTTTAAATCGTTTGTATTGAAGGTTAATACGATTTTATAAATATTAATACGTTTTGTAAATACGATTTTTGAAAGTAATATTATTTTCCGGCACCATTCAAAATGCTTATGTGAAAAAATATTATTTGTACATTAGTTGTGTTTATCTAATCAACTATTTTCTGCAAATTACTTAGAGAAAGTTAAATAACTACAAATAAAATGGATTTGATTATAATTGCATAACTAATTTGATGATATTTAGAACTTTGGATAAAATGTGCATATATCGTTAGCACAGAAACATTATAATTACATTTTTGGAAACATTTCGCAATAGTTTTTAGTGCACATTTTAATTACACATGTTTACAACTGGACTTTCTAATTATTTATAATTGTGGCTAATCCTTCCATGAAAGGAATTGTACTCTTCTTTATTGTATTGTTTGCGTTTAAAATATTAGTAATTATTTAAGATATTTCTAGAAGAAGTAATCCATTAGAATTAAATCTCATGATTTTGTTATCCACTTAATTGGACACAAATCGAATTTATCAATCTCAATACGTTTAATACGTTTTAGATTCTTTTTGTGATGTTAAAAGGTATTTCATCATTGTTAAACAAGTAAAATATGATATGTCCATAAATAAAAATCAATAAACAAAATTTTTTTCTTTTATTTTATGATATTCCTACATAAAATTGAATCCATTGAAGTAATCCAATTATCATTAAACATAACACTTTGCTAAAATGATATGCGTAATTCTGCGTTCGCGCGTAATATTCGATATTATTTAGTAAAAGCTATTTATATATATGTAATGGCATCAATCAGCTTTGTAGTAAATCGAAGAAAAACTATCGTCGCGGCAACGAATATCGCATATAATCGCAATATATTAAATAAATAAAGTTATATTCAAATTATTAATTATATTTAAATTATTAATTATTTAGAATGTGTCTCAAGAAAAATATTAAAGACAAAAGATTTAACAATGACGAAGCACGATTCTCAGCATCAATGATTTCAGGTATAACATTCTAATTACGCACTTTGTATAAGTTGGTTCACAACTGTATTATCAAATTTACTAATCCTTTAAAATAAATTTATTAATCCTCTCTAAACATACTTTTTTTCTCTCTCTCTTAATATACACACTCGGGTCTCTGAAATCCCATCTATATTTGTTATTATAATTTTCATAGAAATGAACACATTTCAATTAATTTTTTTTTAATCAATAGAGAATTAATTAAGAAACAAGTTAATAATGTATAAAAGTCGATAGAATTAAAGAGCTTCGAGATATATAGGTTTAAAGGAGAAGAAATGTTCGAAATACGAAAAAAATCTCGATTTAGCAAATTGCATTGGAGTTTTTGAGACCTCAATGTGTATAGCCAGAGTTAATTATGAATCTACTTATTTCAAAGTCTATTTACTTCAAAGAATTAATTAATTTTTTTAATAGACTCGAAATCCAGACAGACTAATAACAACGACGCAATAGTGGAGAAGCACAGTACAAACCTGAGTCACAAAGGTAAGCGCACGAGTCGTCGCAAGAAAAAATAGTCAATTAACAAAAACAAAACAAAAAAGAGAAGATAGAGAAAGAGAGAAGAGGAAAGAAAAGAATGAAAGCTTTTCTTCGAGACAAGAAACCACTACGTGATATACAATATCGCGTCGTATCAAACGTCATTGACGGTTACGCAATTGTTGAAGATTAAACATGATTTCGAATAATAGATAACTGTTCGTTGTCAAGATATAATAAAGAGATATCAGATAATCAAAACGTTTATCTGAATGGAAGTCGAGTTTGTATAGATCGTTTGTATAGATTCGAATCATCGCAGTCGCTCGTCAATTATTACTTTTAAAAATTATTTAACGAATTAAAATGCTTATAAAAATTCGTCATTTAGAGACGCTTGCATTCTCTGGAAAATTTCATCTGAATTGTAATTGTCCAAAGTATAACTGATTCAAAATACATCATCATTACCGCGCGTTCACTCGAGCTCAATCATTCTCTATAATAACGTTCTCTATAATAATTATAGTCTACACGAGATGTGAGAGGAAAAAGTAATAATATTTACTAATCCTAAATCACTTTAAATCCGCATGTTACTTGAAACCACACTTAAATAACGGAAGATTAATTGAACAATCATTTTTTTATTCGTATCTCCGAAATGTATATGTATTTTGATTTTTTTTTAATCTGATTGAGTGATAAGCTTGAATCTGGTTGATTTTTTTTAATCTGATTGAGTGATAAGCTTTACAAAATTACGGAAACTTTATAGACAAGTGGATGTAACTACATCTATATCGCAGCAATACGTGAAATACGGAAGCATTATCATACACTGAAAGAAAAAATTGGCTGGTATAATTTAGATGATAAAATATATCATACTATTTTTGATTGATTACAGCAATCAATTTTCAGTTGCGTTAACCTATCGAAATCATATATTGACATTGCCAATCAAAAATGCTATTTTATTATCTAAATTGCTGCAGCAGCCAATTATTTCTTTCAGTGTATTTGGACAAAAAATCGCCTCTCTTTTGACAATTACATAATTGCGATTATAAATTGAATATTGTTTCTATACAATGCGATAGTGCAAAACGTAGCACGTGCGAAAATATATAAAGTTTTACGTGTTATCTCCAAAACATGTTGAATTGGTTCTCTTTTTAGATTATATTCGCTTATTTATCAAATAAATGTTATAGTAAGAAATCAACATAAGTTCATTTTTACCGACGTGCATATTTGTATAATGCAAATTTTAAACTTTTTCTTTATACTTAAAAAATATATATACGTTGAGATAAACGTATACAAAACGCTTCGTAAGTCAATATTTTCTAAGTCTATGTCTCAAAGCGAAACAAAAATATCATAGTTTCATACATTAGTTAAAGCACTGTCGTGTTAAAGCATTAACTTTTTCAATTTAGCATTTTAAGTTATAATTATGTTATTCTTTTTAACAGTATAATAAAAATATTTAACGTATATGTTAATGAAAAAAAAAATGGCTGAAACAGCCAATTAATAATGCTATGTCATATTTTACCATCTAAATTGCTGCAGCAACCAATCTTTTGTTTCAGTATATATTCTTCTTTCGAAACGATTTCTCAGCCAATGATGATCATGGAATAAATTGCAGATGCTCATTTGTTTGTATCTAATTTTGATTATTTTAATTTCGATCATCAAAATGCACAAAAATCGGCACGGCGGTGTAATGTATAGGTTTTATAATCTCTACTTAAGATATTGTAACGAATAATATACTATCTTCCTTTTTGTGAATGTATATTTAACAGAGATTATTTCATATTTTTAAATGTAGACATTGTTGATCTTACGATAATAAATTATTTAACCGTATAAATATGCTTTTTACTAATTATTTAATGTTTTATTGCATTATTATATCAACTAAGACTCATAATACGCATCATCAATACACAACCGATGATAAAAATAATCTAAATCAATAGCAGGCAAAATGATTGATTACTCGTTACAATCCCCTTATCTTTCAAGTCATGAATTTTTGTGTTGCTCAAAATTATATCAATCTTTTACACACTATGATCACGTTCGCAATTTCTTTATCCCACCTTTTCATAAAATTATTAGAGATACTGCGAGCGCGTCCATTTTTGCAACGCAACAACTTACTCTTATCTTTAACTGCGATAAGCGGAGATTAGACCCATATGTTATAGATGTGCTGGATGGATAGATAAATGGTGTCACGTGGCGTTCTGGAAATTTAACGAAAAAATTACACACACGACGACGACATCCTGCGATATGATTAAACTGCATTATCATGGATTGCATCGCATTAAATAATTTTTCCATAAATAGTAGTTTTCATCATCTAATGTCATTGATTTTTATGATAACGCCTAACGCGATTTTTCTTACGCGAGATGGTGTCTGCCGCAATAATTACAGTTATTAATATTACGTTACGCGAAGATTGGCTTATCTGTGCGAACCACTGCATAAATAATTACAGATAGTGAGGGAAACGATGTTACTTTATCAAGTGCACTCGTAGCGGGCTTCGTTCGGTAGCACTTGTCGGTAAGCCGTGGATACTTCATCTCGAGGGTCTCTTGTCATTAACAAATTGTATACGGTACAACTGACTGTCAAGTACAATTAGCCGATTACTACTTTTTATAGTTATTGTTTTTCAATTGGAATTCGCAACATTGTTATATGAATTTTTTTTATCTCTCTTTCTCTCTCTCTCTCTCTCTCTTTCTTTCTATGATTTTATGCTGGAATATACTCCAAATGATAATTTTTTCGGCGATTAACTATATATATTGTATTAATACTGAAGCGCTCAACTTGAGAATAAAACTTGGCAATTGTACAAAATACTACAAATAATATAACAAAACAACATAATGAATGATAAAATAATATATCGATAATAATAATAATAAAAACGCTTGTTTGCTGAAATTATGCTGTGTCAGCATAGTCTAGTAGAAAATCCTAACCTAGTAATGCACGATAAAATCATTTTACACGTGATAGATACGGCAATCTACAATTTTCTTCTTTTTTCTCTTTTTGTAGTTATAGTCACAAATGACAGATAAAGACTTTCCGTCTTTTAATCTTAACATAAGATTAATAACTACGTACACCGAAAGAAAAGATTGGCTAAATATGGCATAGCATTTTTAATTAGTTTCAGTAGCCAATTTTTGATTGCGTAGCCTATCGAAATCGTATATTAACATTATGAATAGGCTAATGCAAAAATTAGCTGCTGCAGTCAATTAAAATACTATGTCACATTTTTTTCTGGTGGAAATTTTTTAAATTTTTATACAATGTAATTAGAATTTTTCAGAAATACTCAAAAATATTCGGAAAGTTTACATCTTTTCTCAGAATTTTTTATATAAATGAATTCTGAAATATTCTGAAATATTTTTCATCACATAATTTTTAAAAAATATTTTTAAATTTTTTAGATTTTATAACATTTCTTCAGAAATTATACTTACAAAAAATCTTAGAAATCTTATTGTTTCATAATTAACGCATACAAAAAATTCTGAAAAAAGATGTAGATTTTCTGAGAAATGTTCCAATTCATATAAAAAAATGTGAGAAAGTTATATAAAATTATATAAAAATTCTGAAAAATTATATGAAAAATTCTGAGAAAAATTTTCACCAGAGTTACTATCTAATTTACTACAGCAGCCAATCTTTTTTTTCGGTATATACATAATAATGCAACGCATTTTGGATATATATAATCTACATTATGTACAGTATATTTATCTATAATATATCTTTCATATTTATATACACAATGTGTACGTGAGAGAAGTATTTTATTTAATAGCATAAACAAAATTAAAAAATTATTATATTGCGTATTCGTGAAGCTATCATGCTTTTCAATTTGTGAATTCATGATAATAATAGATTAATTATATATAAGAAAAAAAATTGATTTTTTTGGAAATGTATTCAAACATATAAAACAGAGGGAAATAATGAATGCAAATGCATCATCAGAGATCGAGAAAACTTGATAATATTTTGGTCCCTTTCAACGTTATGATTTGCGGTAGTCAAACTAATCTATGTAGAGTGTTATCACACTGATAAGGTTGCCGGAGCTCCTATCAGGTAGCCATATTTTTGATACAATATATAGGTGATCGATATATTGCCACAAAGTTCTCAGTAAAGCTATCACGAGTTGGACGAGAGTTATAATCTCGGTGTTATTTTCCACGATAATTTCCATTAAATTCCTCTTTCGAGTGTCGAATCGCTTCTTCAACAAATATAGATAATGCACAAGGACGTTAAAAAAAAAAAGTGAAAATTTTTTGTGAACTCACTATCGAGAAAAATTTTTTTCACATTCCGACAATTGGTGATCGCGTTATTATTAGTTCGTTACATCTATTTTAGCATCGATGAATGCTTGTAAAATCAATTTTTTCAGAAGTTCTTGAAGCTATGTAATCCACATCATATGAATATCACTTCCCTTCTTGCGCTTTGTTTAAGTTCATCGGAAAATAGAATTCGTGTCGCAGGAAAATATGAGATGACTCTTCATGCGAAATACGCGTCGGATTTTCGAGGAACGTGAGCATGAAATGCAGATCCATCGCGTCCGGAAAAAGATTTATTTGTTGAAGCAATATTCGAAATCGTCAAAGAATTCTTTCGGCTGTTTTTTTGATGAATCAGCCGGCGGAGATACGTTTTTGACCGGAAAAGCTGCGGGATATTTTTCAACTTTTTGTGTCGGCTACAGAAACGAGCACGTTCATTAATCGATTTAGTGAAAAAGAAGAAAAATGGCAGCCGGATACGATGATTGTTACGACGCTTCTTGGCATTTGATACCGCCCGATTATGTCAGCAACGAGGAGGATTACAGGTAAAAAATAGCGAAAAAGGTTTTAAAGATATAATATTCTGTATGGAAAATAATAGTTAAGAATAGCCGTGTTTAACTGATTTTAATTTTTGCGTTAGTAATTAAAACGATAATTTTAATTTCTATCCATAAGATACATGATAAATTAATTTTAAAATTATTACCGCATGTTAAATTGAAAATTTGAAAATCTTACAATGGTAAATTTAACGTTATCTACAAATAAATCAGACATCTTAATATGAATCTATCAGATATTTAATCTATCGAGGTAGAGAGATAAGAAGCATACTCTGTAAAATCTCAACACATTTAATATATTATTTTATGAAAACAAAAACGTCTTTATCGTTGATCTTGAAATATTAAAAAAATTACTCGATCTCCGCGTATTTGCGCGGGCAATTAACATATCTGATTAAGCCGATAATACCGGAAACCGGAAACGAACGTTTAAGAGCAGTCACGCATATCGGTTAGGCGAATCCTTCGGCGTAGAGTGGTACGCCTTGTTACACACTGGGACACACACGAGGAACGAAAGGGCCGTGCGGTATGCCGACACCTGTTGGTTTCCATCATAAATTTCGGATTAATCGTATTCAGCTACGATGTATGGTTCTCTTATTTCCCCGTTCGTTCGTTGCACCTGCGAGATCGCGAGATCGTCGAATCAAAACATCACCGAATAGACAATTATTTAATTTAATATCGCCATCTAATTCTTGTTTTTATACATCTGGATATATCG